GCTCTTGGTGCCTCCGGGAAGCCGGAAAACCGGAGATTTTTTTGCTGGTTTGGAAAAATGGGATTGTGGGGAGGTTGAAGAAGGATATAAAAACAGGGAATGACGCAAAATTCACAACTTTCAACTGTTTAATGCAGAAAAAGATACATGGTGAAGATTTTCGAAAAGGGGAATGCGAGAGAGAGAGAAGGAGAGAGAGAGAGAGAGAGAGAGGGAGGCGGTTGGGGGGGAAGGGAGTTTGATTCGGTCGGTTTGTTTGGGCATTGACTAACTGGCTTTCTTTGTTTGATCTTAGTTCTCCAACTAAAATTTTGTGAGTATTAGTTTCCACACTTGCTACATTTCATAGCAAGAGCTTAAACAAACCTACTCAATAATAAATCTAGACCGGAACATCCGACGTCGATCCTTACGAATAAACCTAACTGAACAAGGAGTATAAAAAATAAAATAAAAAATTACCTAAATCTAAATCAAGACCATAGGTTGCTAAACTATCTGCCACAAAGTTTTTTTCTTTGTAGACAAGCCAAAGTTCGCATTGCCAAGATCTTGAAAGCAATTCTCGACAGGCCAAAACAAGGAGACCTAAAGGATGATTATTCAAAAAGATCATAGCTCTACACTATAACGAATTCAGGGACCAATATGCTCCACATTGTGTCAAGTTCATAGGTCGTACTTATGAATATTTTGTTCTAAGTACCGAATTTTCAATTGAGCTAAAGTCGAAGGACATTTGCTCCAATTTTCTCCATTGAAAAAAGAGTACATTGGAGAATCAACATACTAGGAGTAGGGATACAAGGAAGGAATAAGCTCATCACACTCTGAGTCTATCACAAAATACATTACTATCATCTTTGCCTATTTGACTCTCTTTCAAACCAAAGAACGTCCCGCAAGAACTGCACCCTTTTAACCACTCTCAAACAGCATGGAGTACCTCACATATTGTGTGATGTTACCTCACATCAACGAGGATTTGCATGCTTTACCAATTTGAATGTCGCATCTGAATAATATAAATTCAAAGGATATATTTGCACGTCAAGATATTACTGAAAGATATCGAACTCACGGACTAGAAGCATGGATAGAGTTTAATCATCATCTTCAAGGACGCTCCTACGCCTCTGAATCTGGTATAATAAGAGTGACAGAAAGACGTGTCAAAACCCAGTACATTTTTCCACGTAAAAAAGAAGGAAAAGAAAAATCATTATATGATGGTCACAACTTACAGTGACTTTGGTCTGTTTGGTTGTTTGGTTGTTGATCTGCTCCAACAACGAGATGAGTCTCTCCTCAGATACCTGAAAAATGAAGCAATGAGCACTTTGGTTCTGTTCAAACAAACTCGTTACTTCAAAATAAAAACTAAATAAGCTGTGTGGAGAAACTATAAAACCGACCATGATATGAAATATCACCCCATACCTTCTCAACTATCTGGCCCATTTGAGCAGCTCTCAGTATAACATCTTCAACACCCCTTGCCTTCTCAGGTTTCACCAAAGCAATTCTAGCAACTGTACATGCATAGCAGCAGACGAATTAGATCAACAGATAAGGCTAACCCAAAGTAATTCTACCAACAAATCATTTTTCGATCCTTCCTACTTTAAACAACCTACTTATAATGCCAAAATACACGAGACAAAGAATTGGTTAGTAGGGATGATATCCGAAATTTTCTAAAGTGTACAAGTAAAATAATCATATTAAGTAATGGCAACGTTAGATATATCAGCTTACTTCTTTCACGAGCTTCGCCTGACACAATCTGACTAAGCATCATCTGCCTCCGCTCTTCGGCCTCCCTGCATTAATTGCATTATATATTAATCAAATCAATAAGAACATTTTGGAAAAGGGTTGTCCCAATTGATCTGAAACCCAACCTCTTGGCATCTTCATTTGCCTTGTGCTGCTCTGGGTTTTGTTGTTGCCCTCCAGACCCTCCCTGTTGATCAATGTAAGGTAGTGAGATCAGCAAGGAATCAAAAGAAAATGCAACCAAAAATTTTGGCGAAAATATTCAAACGAACAAAAGCTGATTGCTGATTGCTTACCGCACCATGTTGAGCCATAAGCTCCTGCATTCTTCTTTGTCTGATTGCTTCCAGTTCAGGATCAGCCTAAAAAAGAGCCCAAAATTTTAAAAACAACAAAAATCAAACGATGGGCAAACAAAAACACTTCAGGAAAAAGCAAACCGTAATCATCATACAGACTTCACCTACAATAATATTTTGCTAACCACAAAGATACGTATACCAGAAACTATATCTACAGCATTCAGTTCCTGCCATTGGCCATCCATTGAAACCAACTCAGCTACCTAAGTGATTCTTTTCATAAGTATACACGCACATATGGGGATCCCATTTCAGCTACAAGGTGCAGAACTTGAATAGCGCACTTGGATAGAGTTTAATGAAATCTAGGAACTCAGAGCTCAGTGAAAATATAACCCGTTTCTGAGTTATTTAACCCAAACCCATCTTAGACCAGCAAAGAAACATGATTGAGAAATCGCAACCCATTTTCCCCATCCCTCCCAAAAACCCCATCACATAGTACATTTCGCATCTCAGGTGCCAAATGAAAAACCAAAAGTCAGGCAGTTTGGAACACCCTACGAAGAACAAGGAAGTCAACGAAATCTCTTGAATACACATACAGACAATCCACGCAATGTTCAAAGCCATGCTTACACATCTATGCTCCAATATAACTACTAACTCTCTTTGAGCATGTTTCACAGTTTCGGGAAGTTTTCAAATCCCATTAATTTCCATGCCTGCTCGGCGTAAAAATCCACGCCCTATAATTCCGAAAGCTACAACACTCTTCCTGTCACAAAAGTTTACAGGCAGCTCCTATTTCGTAGTAAACATTGAGCTACCGATATTCATTTCTTAGTCAATTGCATACCCAAAATCCCTTAAAAATCACAATCCCACGCGAAATTAGAATCGTGCAAACATAATCAAAGAGTTTTCAAACCCTGATTTCCAGAAAGAAGATTAAAATCGACAAGAAATTTATACAATTGAGTAAATTTACAAGCATTGTAAACCCTAATCTCTCCATATTTGGTATCTGAAACTAAAAATAGCAGCCGAAAAAGATGCAAAAATGAAATCGAAAATATCAGAGAGAGAAAATACGTTACCATTGATTCGAGTTGTGGATGAGCGATCGAGTCTTCGAAACAAGTTGCGTTCGGCAGGCGCGGATTCTATAAGCTTTTCATATATCTTTTATATGTGTAAAGGGATAAAAGGGGAAAGAAAACAGTCGCTTTGAATGAAATCTTTAATGAAGGGATTCTCTTTTCCTTTTTCTTTATGTTGTGGGATTCACATTATTTTAAACTTTAACTATTCGAACGGTTTATTTTTTAAATTGCATCTTATAGATTATCTTTGTAAAATATTAGTCAAATTAGAAATCGGAAATGTTTAAGACATCTAATTGGGCCCAAAGAAATTAATGAATATTTTGTTATATATGAAATAATGAAATTTTATCTTAATAATTAAATAAGCAAATGGTTTCGAATTGAATTGAATTTTTGCAAGGATGATCTATGAATCGAGACTTACAAAATAGGCAATTTAGATTGTTGAAGTTCGATGTGGAGTGAGCCCCACACTTAATCACCATTTTTTGAAAAAAAATTGGAGATCCCTTTGCATAAATGCTATGCACTTTCAAAATCTCAAAGTTATGCTACTTAGTAACAATGTTCTAAAAAACGCTAGGCGCTAGTCGGGTGGCGGCATGGGGCCTAGTGCTTAAGCGGTTAGACAGAGCTTAGACTGGCGCCTAGGCGAACCAGGCATATTTGAATAAAATTTATTAGGGTAAAATACAAAAAATTACCTCAATTACTAGTGTTACAACACTTTCATACCTCATATTTTAAAATTGACAATGTCATACCTCAACTTTTAAAATTGACAATGTCATACCTCATCTTACGAATTTGTGCCAATGTTATACCTTCCGTTAGGGTTAGCGTGAATTTCTCAGTTAAATG